TTTTTCCTCACCTTCTTCCGGATGTTGATAGCCTTTCAAACACATCAGTGTGGGAGGCCGTTCTTGGGGCTGTCATCCGCACAGGTGTTGGGGCAGCTGCGGGAAATATAACAGTAAAGCCTTTTTCTTATCCGCCTCTTTTAAAAGACAAGGCTGGGAGTGTGGTGGGAGAAAGACATGGGCCTTTGAGGATGGTGCCGTTCAAATTCAGCTGGAGTCTTTGCTTCAGTAGCTGGGAAGTGCATTTTTTAATGACAAGTGGTGTACATGACATTGCACAAAATGAGCATTCATGCAGTGGCTCAGTGCAATGCACATTCTCTGCTCAAAGAGGCCTCCCCAAGGAGCTGGAAAGAAATCACTCGCCAGTCAAAAGGAACGACAACTGGTCTTACTGAGTGAGGGTGAAGGTCTGTCTGTGTCAAGGTAAATGGAGGCAGACAGCATGACTGGCTAGCAGAGTTAAAGAAAAGCTTTGTTTTCAGTACTGTCAATCCACTCCCTTCCTTTGCTCATCACAGCTGCACACCACTCAGTTCACTAATGTGAAAACTTCATCTACGAGTTCAAGAGACTAATTTATAGAGAAAGAGGAGAATCGAACGAGACATTTTTAAGAGCTGCCTGCAAAAGATGAAAGTCCAGAGGGGACAGTGCAGAAAGGGAGCGGCGTTTGTATAAAGCAGAATTGCTCAGTACAACTGGCCCAATGTTGCAATATCTATTTAGTCTTCATTTTCTCTCAGCCTATAGCCCTCCCTCTCATTCTGCCATGGCCCCACGTGTACTGCAAATCCTGCCATGTTGGAGACCGGGATACCCCACAATTGTTCCCCATTCTAGTCCTTTTTTGCAATGTAGATGGAACATTGCCCATGTCCCCAAATCAAGCTTGAATTCACTCACAGCCCAGCCAACTTGAGCACCTCCCATCATTCCCCCCAATACCATACTCACCTTTCCAATATGGACTTGACATTTGCCCTCTACCTGGCTATAGGCTAGAAGGTGCACCATAACACGAGCACAGAGCTGCTGGCGATTCTATTGTAATTCCTATATTCTCCACAATGGGGACCACATCAGTTTATTTCGAGAGAGAACTAGTAGTGATTTCACCAGAAGGCCAAGCAACAGCAGAGGGGCAGAGTTAAGATTGGTAGGGGGGACTAAACTATTTCCAGATTTTCTGCAGGCAGGTTCTGTTTTTTTATTTAAACAACGTTCTGGTTTCCTGGCTTCCGATTGGGTGATTTTTAAACCGTATTCACTTTCTAACGTATGGGAGGGACTTGCTGGGACATATTTGTTTGTTTGGAAATACAGGGAGCATCCAGGAGATGTAGAAGAACACAATAGGTATTTCTAGTCTAACTGGTCTATTGACAGTGCTTTCTGATGGAGAGAAGTTAAAAGTCATGGAGAATGAATTCCCACGGAAACGGATTGTGATACCTTTACCCCACTTCACTGCACAAGTGGCATTAGCGATAGGGCAATAAGACTATTGCAATCTGGCTCATGTTTTTCATTAGATTGAGCATTATAATGGTAGTACATTTACCCCACTGTGTTTACCTGATTCATTTCAAACAACTGACCTCTGGTGATATTAGCATAAGAGAAAGAATTTCAGTCTCCATGTTCATCTGTTCTTAGACTTCTTTTGATTAAAAAATCACTGATGATGAAATAGGGCATATGGGTGTACTGGGAGATAAAGGGCAGCTGATTAAACTGGTGTTACCCCCGACCCCTCCTTCCACCGGACATAAACCAGGGTACCAGAAGCAAAAACCGATGACATTTATGTTATAAGGAAGGAAATAATTCTATTGTCCCCATGCACCTTTTTACCCAGGGAAAAAAAAAGAAGAAATGACTTTTCAACTTAATTAACAATTCAAAACCTGAGGAACAGGAGAGATATGCAAAAATCCAGACAAAAAGATTGCAAGAAAATGAATTTGCTGATAATACAGTACTTGCAAAACAAGCTTCTGATATTCCCCTCTTGACACAGTGTCTGTTGTCTTCCAGGCAATCATATCCAACCGTAATTGTCTAACAATTGTTCCGCACTGAGAAAATAGTTCTGATTACAGACATTAACACGTTTAGGCATTAAGCTTCCTCACTGTAATTACCCTTGAGCTTAGTCTCACAAATGAATTAATATGCTGATCGCTTGGACTAATAGAACCAGAAAAAGGGTGATGAATTGCTTCCAAATCAGATAAAATCAAGCATGACATCATTTAATTAATTTTGAAGTTGGGGGAGGAAAAAGGGGGAGGGGTGATGCTGAAAAGAAATGCGTCTCTCTCCCATGGGGACTTCTTCATGGATAGAAACGTGACCATAGGGGAGGCAAAGGAGGTGTGAGGGAAGGAGGGAGTGTGCACTGGGTGATAAGAGGATTTCTGTAGGTGGATGGGCGTGTAACTTCTGTATGTGAGCATGCAGTGCAGGCTAATGTGCTGTTACATACTGGTAATATGGATGTGATATGGGATATGCACTTCCCCCCCAGTATAACTAAATAGCTATGGTGCTGTGAATGGGATTGCACGGCTTAGCTGTCGAGTGAATCATCATCTGACTGCTTGGTGGCCACATTCCATCCATCTCTTCTGAGACACTTACACAAGAAGAGAGACCACTAATCGGGGCACAACGGCTGCATCCTCCAGGTCTCCTCATTAACATGGATTTTACACTGTGCGAATTCTCCATAGCAGACACTACAGAAGAAGGTTTTGTAGCTTGGAGGATGGGGAAAGGGGCCAAGCACATGGTTGGTGAGTTATGTCCTGCGCACCCCATCTCTTTCCTAGATTGTGACCACACTGATAGGAAAAAATGTGCAGGCTATCCCTATATAAGGCTGCAGCTCAATCAGAGCATGGGCCACATTATCATTGTAGCCCAGATTGGGAGCAGTTATCCCCACTGATTTCATAGGCCTGCCTCACAAGGGCCTGTACTTGGTCTCTAAGACAAGCAATAAAAAACTAACAAAATAGGAGTAAAATGAAAGGATGGGGCTACAGCGTGGGCTGTTGGATTACGTGGTGTCACTCTCTCATTCTCAACCTAAACCTACCACATAGGTCACTGCCCGTCTCACAAATAAACCAGCATGGTACAAGGAGCACGCTGTACCTGATATGGATGCAGAGGCCACTTGCTTCTTGTAGCCAGGCAGGTAATCCTCCATCTTCCATTTCAGATTCCGCATTACTCGTGCATTCTATGCAAAGAGGAACCAAGAGCAAAGTTACTTAGAAAGCAAAGTTACTTTAAAAAGGAGACGTGTGGTTGGTTTAACTTTCAAAGCAGTCTGAGGCCCATAGTTTGGCTGCCATTGATTTCAGTGGGAGCAGGGCCAATCAGAGGGGGGGCCCAAGAGGGCCATTTGGCCTGGGCCTCAAGCTCAAAGGGGGCCTCAAATTTAGACACTTGTTAATTTTTTGGCATTTGATAAGTTTTGCAACTTGTTTTTATGCGCATCCCTATCGGACCAAAATGTGACACACTCGCTCAGCTTAGAGCTGCAAATTTAAGCAAACACGAGATGTGATTTGGTAAAAGACATAATTTTTTTTGTTAACTGACATAGATTTTGTCATATTAAAGAGTTCAAAATGTTCATAAATATTAATAAAAATATATCGGTTCTGATGGCACATGATTAGACCGTGATGAACATGTCCTCTCAGCTCAGCGGATTATATAATCAAACCACTACTAGTGGCTGGTGCTGGATCAAGTGCGTGTTGAAAGGTAGAGAATTGTTACATTTTATTGTCTTTATAGTTTTACGTCTAGTTGACTGAGGAATTATTTGTATGAGAGAATTCCTAATTATTATCTTCATATGGTAGCTAAAAGAGGTGACTGGTTGGTTGATTGAGCCTTAACTTGGCCATCGTCTTAGGCTTTCGTAGTCTATAGGCCGATTCAAGGTGAAAATTTGTGAGGACCTTCAACGTGTTGAAGCAGGTAAAGAACTATCACCGTTCAACTATGGGACGAGCATCTGAATGGGCTCGCCATGATTTATATAAATTGTGACATTGCACGAAAGCTAGATTTTTCCTCAATAATTAGTGCATTTGCACAGAAAAAAGGCTAGAGAAGCATTTGTTAAATAAAAAAAATATTCAAATTATGTCTCACTCTTCATCAGGTGTAGATATACATAAGAAGAGAGAAAGGATGGTCCAATGATAAAGGCATTAACCTAGGCTATGGGATATCTGGGTTCAAGTCACATACTTCCTGTGTAACCTTTGGTAAGTCACATAGATTCTAAAGCGAGAAGGGACCACTAGTCTGACCTCCTGCATAACACAGGCCATAGAACAGCCCCAAAATAATTCCTGCTTGAGCTTAGTCTCTCTGGGCCTCAGATCTCCATCTATGAAAATGGGAATGACCATACTGCCACTCCTCACACCGGGGTGGTGCCCTGATCAGAGCTGATTGGAAAATGGATTTTCTGTCCCACAAGAAAATTCAAAAATTTTGACTTTTTGTCCCAATGTGGGATGAAAAAAATTGAAAATTTTAGCAACACAAAATTAAAAAAAAATCTCCTGTTGGGTCAGTCAAAACATTTTATTTTGATAAATTTGAAGTGTTTGGTTTCAGTTGTGACCCTTTTTTATTTTACCTTTTTCTAGATAAAGTAGAATTTTGAAATGAAAAGTTCTTTCAAAATGAAAATATCAAAAAACATATCATTCTGATGGCAAAATGAGACATTTTGACATTTTCTAAACCTCCTTCCACTTTTTTAAACAACATTTACTTGAAATGAATACATCAACACAAAATCAGTTGAATTAAAATGGCATTTTCTGAGGGAAAATTTCTGACCAGCTCCTGTTATTAAAGATTGTGAAGTGCTCAGATACCATGGTAGTTGGGGCTCATAGGCACCTTAGAATGTGAGATATCAAAGACAAACGAAGCTCATTGCCACAGTAACAACTTCATGGTTTTGTATAAGTCTGAAAGAGGGATTCACTTTCCACAACATGATATTTGCTAAGCAACCAGGGTGCAGAGTAATGCAATCTTATCTCTTTTAGTGTTAAACGCACACGTGTTTGTGCATATTTTTCTCTCTGCTTGCTCAGAACTATCTTTAATTGTGTATCTATTGTGTTTAGGAAGTGGCTTCTTCTATCATGGTGCTATGGGAACAAACAAACAACAACAACAAGAAAATGAAATAAGAGAGTCTAAGAACATAGGCACTGCCATAACAGATCAGATCCATGGTCCATCTAGTCAAGTAACTTGTCACAACTGGGCCAGGACCAGATGCTTCAGAGGAAGGTTCAAGAAACCATGCAACACGCAGCTACGGGAGAAGCTGTTCCCAAAGAAAGCTTCCTAGTCCTAACCCCCACAATCATCATCATCCCCATTCTTCAGTTGGGAGACCTGTGACAGCAAGATGAAGTGACTTGGTCAAGGCCACATAATGAGTCAGGAGCAGAGCCAGGTTTAGCACTCAGGACCGGCAGATCCCAATCCTTTGCTCAGCCCTCTAGGCCACACTGCCTACTTTAACAATAAATGTTTGAAGACAATGCCTTACAGATGAAGTAATAGCATTTGGTCTGTGAACCTTGATTGTGCACCATTCCTATGTCAAGAAAATGTGGTTTGGCCGACGTTATTTCTGCATCTAACTATAACCCAACTAATTGCCTCATAACCACTCAGCAAAGCTATCCTCTTCCCCAGGTTGGTGCAATAAGCCTCGGGATCATCCCTCTTAGTGGTTTGAGTGTTCTAGACAGGGCTTTACCAGAGGTGAAAGTAGCAACACATAGAGAAGGGAAAAAAGTCTTGGATTTGTTTCCATTTGCCCATTGGAGGGCAGTGACCATGGAATACAAGAGTAAAATGGGTGTGCATTATCAAAGGTTCAGTTCTGACCCTAGCCAAGATACTGTCTATATCCTTTAGCAAAACTAGCTTCACCTAGCCAAGAGCCATCAGAATGAGTTCTCTCTAAGGATGCTGCAGTACAAGGAGGAGACAGTACGTGGCTGAGAGAGGTGGCTGCTATCTCCTTGTAACTAGGCAGCAAAGAAGTGAAAATGAACAATCAAGCTTGGCCCTAGAGGTAGCAAGAAAGGGGATAAAGCTGCTAAATGTGGCTTTGGCTTCAGGTTCAGATCCATACCACCCCACAATACAGAGGCACACAGAGGTTTACCTTCAGGCCCGTTTCCAGGATAAGAAGATGAAATGCATTGGTAACATCAGATGTTATTTTTATCTGCAGTGGCCATACGTCAAGAACCAAATTAGACACTGGAGGCCAGATCCTCAGCTGGCGTAAATAGTGGATGCTCTACTGAAGCTGAGGCTCCCTCCCTGCCTCTTTAAAGATCTTATGTTTGGATTTCTGTTTGCAGGATGTTAATATTCATATATTTGTATGCAGCCAGCCTTTGGAGCACGCAAACGTCCTCTAACTGTAATTTCAGCCTGGTCAAGGTAACAGACCTTTTTCATTAAGTGCTTCCAAATTTCCAATCTATCCATGAATGTGAAAAATCTGTGCTAATTAAGGCCTGTCATATAGGCCAAAGTGCAGAGAGAAGTTAAGGAGGTTCCGAAGAATTTATTAAAGACACAGTGTCGACATTAATGTGACTGGGATTTTTTTCCCAACACTCAGTAACATTTCATCCTGGTCTTTATTAATCGGACAAGTGGTTATTTTAAAAAATACCTACGCCTCCTTCGGTCTTAGGTAATAAGGGTTTTCGTTGTTGGGAAACTAGCTAGTTCTCAGGAGGTCAGTGGTGCATGGGGGCACAATGCCACAAAGGAGGAAAGGGTTTCTGGTCACGAAAGTGCACATTATATATACACACACACTACTACATTTTTCTAAGTACAAGTATATTCGTTTTAATTCCAGATCACTTACAAGTAGATGGTAAGAATATTTATTTCAGGGGAGGGGGAAGATGACCATATTTTTAAATTCAAAATAAAGGATATCATTATGGCAACATTTTAAAGGATGCAAAATACTCCTAGAAAAGACGTAAGTACCCTGTTTGTAAAATGTGTTCTATTGTTGCTACTTCTAGCTACCAACTTCGCAGCAAACACTGTATTCCTCAGTGTGCAGGATTTTTTTCAGTGACTTTGTATCTGAATGAGTTTATCATGAAACACTGAGCGGGTGTTATCACTCATTTTGAGTGAAACAACAGCTTCGACAGTGGTAACGTTCATTCAGCTTCTTCTCTTCACTCCAAACCCTGTTCATCACACTCAGCACTCATTCCACTGAGCCGTTTGCTCTGCTAAACACAGAACAAGTTCTAGTTGATGTAGCGATATGGTTTTAGCAAACAGTTTTTAGAGTCATATAAACATTGTGATTGATGAAATGGAAAACTGGGGTACGTCTGTTAGTCTATAAGGTGCCACAGGACTCTGTCGCTTTTTACAGATCCAGACTAACACGGCTACCCCTCTGATACTGGAGTACTTCAGGCATTCCTGGAACACTACAGAAAAAACAAGCCAAACAAAAAGAAAAGAAAAGAAAACATATATCTGTCCAACTGCAACTGAGACATATGGTCTCTTTAAGGAAGGGGCTCCCAAGAAGTCTGTAAAGTTCTGAGGGCCTAATGCATCAGAAAATGCCATTGACTTAAATGGACAAGGTTCCACCAAGTTCAGCAGTTGAGGAATAAAGCTCTCTGTGGCTCGCTCTGATTTGTGTCCTAGATACGTGTCTATTCTGATTACCGAACATCTGGTAGCCCTGATGTACTGTGTAATAATATCCCAACTATGTATGTGAAACACTTATAAATACTAATTAAAATTTAATCGTTTATTAAGACCACAAATATCTATCATCTGAGAAGCGATTTGAGCTCATTTTCCTTCACATCCTTTATTAATCAAACACAGTGAAATGCACTGACTTTTTTTTTTTAAAGGTTCCTTGGCATTGTGTAGATGGACCCCATCAGTGTGAAGTGGAATATAATATAATTTATTGTCACTAACACAGGAATGGACCATAACTCTAAAGAGACAAAGCCTCGAGTGAGCTATGAAGGTCATTTTTGTACATCCAGAAAATAAATGCAATATGCCACTGACTGCGTTAGCATCCCATTTTGGAGACAACGTGGACTGCCTTCACTTTAATAAATAGCAAAAATGAAGGTTTTCAGATGGAACATTACACAGTTAGTCCTATTGGACCTGGACAAAATGAAGGCAAAAGTCAGTTCAGTTTATAGACACTTGTATTTCATGCTTCTCTTTTCCAGGCATCTTTAAAGGACACAAGACTCAAACATTCCACACCAAAGTTATTTTTGATACACTTCAAAAACAACACACCCTGACCATCACTTTTGCCATTGGAACCTGCTTTTCACTGATGCATCCACCAAATGGAAGAGGGGCTAGATATTGACTTTGGATGCCACTAACTGCATTATTTAGTCTCAGTCTGAACATTACCCAGGTGACCATTAGAGCTCTCTTGTAATTGGTGGCTTTTGATTCGGGAAATCTAACCTCCCTTGAAACCAACATGCTGTGGAGTTTGATTCCTGCTAAGGGCTCTTGGGCCTGATTTTTAAAAAGGCCTCACCCCAGCCTTTGATATTTGTGGGTTGAGTGTGTGTGTGTGTGTGTGTGTGTGTGTGTGTATATATGTGTGTATGTAATTAACTGTGTTTATACCCACAAGCACAAACAGGTTGTTAGAGGCACCAGGCTGTATAACTGTACTAAGAAAAATTAAGGTGTTAGTGATAACTCAGGGCTAGTCTACATCTAGACGGATAAATCGATCCCCGAATCGACGCTCGTACTCCCACCTCGTCAGGAGGAGTAAGCGCTGTCAATGGGGGAGCCGCCGTGGTCGATTTGCTGCCATCCTCACAGCTGGGTAAGTCGAATAGGATACGTCGAATTCAGCTACGCTATTCGCGTAGCTGAATTTGCGTATCTTAAATCGATCCCTCCCCCTAGTGTAGACCTAGCTTCTGGGCCGTGGGGAAAATTCCTGCTGTTAGTTAAAACTGCATCCACAATGACTTTGGGAGCCTCCATTTCTACAGCCAAACAGAACCTTCTGCAAGAAGATAGGTCCAAATCCCATCTACTCCATCACTGGGGGTTTTGAAGAGCAGGTTGGACAAACACCTGTCAAGGATTTAAGTTTACTTGGTCCTGCCTCAGCACAGGGGACTGTTGGTATATAGGTCTGTTTGTTAGGCTGGGATAAAATGTTGGGTTTGGACTTTTTGATACTCTTATACTAAAATGAGTAAACAAGGGAGAAAGATGCTGTGATGTGCTTCTGCCTCGTCAGCTGGATTTGTTTGGGAACAGATAAGAGCAGTTAAAGCATTACTCGAGAGCACACTTTAAGATTGCCTCAACCCCTATCTCAAGGCAAAGTCAAGCAACCAGTTGGAAGGGGCAAAGGGGCTTGTGGGGGGAGGTATAAAACATTAAAAACACCAAAGAAATACCCGTCCCTGACCAGAGCACAACCTCGCTCCTTACCCCTCCCATAGGGTACAAAAGAGGTGGAATGAAGACCCCAGATCCAAAAATGGAACATGACCCTAAGTTGTAAGGGATGGACTGTGGGCATGCATTACAGGGATATTTGGGCCTGCTAAGAAGGAGGAGGTGGGAATAGGGAAAATGGGGAATGAGGATACAGGCAAGGCTCTGCGGCGTCAGAGCTGGGAAGGGGGACACAGGGTAAATGCTCTGCAGTGTCAGAGCTGGGAATGGAACACTGAGGAACAGACTCTGCTGGCGAGTAGAGCTATGGATATACTTGTTTAGAACTAACCCCAATAAACATCGCATTGTTTGCACTTCAGACTTCTGGTCTTCTGCTTTCTGTCTGCGTGACAAGAACCGGGGGGGGGGGGAGGAGGAGCGTGAAGGGAAAGCCCTCTAACGATGACTACTCAAGGTCCCTTCCAGCCCCACATTTCTAAGGCTCTACCCCATCCCAGTTGCTTACACCTCCTATTGTCCTTCTCGATACCCACCACCTCCTGACTTATGTTTCTGTCCCTGCCTTTCCCTACTCACACACTTGTACAGCAGTAGCAAGAATAGATGATGATTCCACATTGGCTACGATGCAAGGGAGTGATCAAGCGGATTGGGTGCTAGGTAGCATAATAGGTTAGCATAGCAGTACTTGCCCCTGAGGAGCAGATTTCAAGTCTTCCTGAGATCACAAATGACGTCCCTAATTAGGGTCTCCAGGTGCTACTGCCATACAGATCATAAATGACACTTAACAGGAAGAGACGAAGCACACCGCACACAATCATCACACAAAGACAGTCACTGCCCCCAAAAAAACTAAATTTACCAACCTCCCATTTGTCCACAGCCCAAAGGCACATTTCTGCATCCCTGGCAGCCTCTGTTCAGCGTCCACGATGGAATAAGGATGCTTTTTTTCACATCCCAAGTTGGATGCATAGTCAGAATTGTCTGGGATGAGCTTTAACCCTCCTATTATGCTTAACCCTACCCAGTGCTCTTAGTCCTTCCCTGTCACAAGGTTCCCTGACCACCACTTTTTAACTGCCCACTGCTTAGCTACATATAACCCATACATTTACTAGAAACTCCAGCATCAAAATCTTCTGTCTATATTTAATCACATTGCCTCTCAAGGTAAGATTATGCCACCTGGGATTCGGGGCTCCCAACATGCTGAGGTTCATCCGCAGCCTTCATGTTCCTCAGAGCCCCCATTACAATGGTTATTTTTGGAGCAAAAGGCCTATGATACACCTTGCTTTGGGTGCTGCTCTTCTCCTCCCATCTGCCATAGTTCTATTTGTACACTAAGTTGTGCATCACTCACGCTAGCTCAGTTCTGCAAGCAGCAACTGGGATACACTACTACTATTTCCTTGGGAGTTGTTATTTGAGTAATAAGAGGCTGAAGCAGACCCAAAAATACCCACCACTGCTTTTTCCCCACATCCAATCAAGCCACCCAGTGTGGCTTTAGAAAGGCTTTCAGTGTTCTAAACAGATTTTGCTTTAAAATAATAATGAAATACAGCCGGTTTTAACTCTCTTGGTCTCATTAAGCAGGGGTAAAACTGTGAAAACACAAATGTGAGAGTGTTAGACTTGGAAGATTAAATCATACGGGAAACGACAAATGCTAAAAATGAAAATAACTTCCAAGAAGGAAAGCTGAACACAGGGGAATTCATGAGTAGCAGGATTTGCCTGCATCCCTAAGGATGCTTTGGGAGTCTGTAGAAAACCAAAATATAGCACAGTGCATAACTACCCACAACATCAGATCGCACTGCCAATATGCCGACCCTTGAAGGCTACTTCAATAGGCCTTGAAGACTTTGGGCCAGGCCCTCAGCTAGTGTAAGTCAATTTAGTTCCACTGATTTTCACCAGCAGATGATCTGGCCCTTTGTATTTGCTTTGAATACAGGGGTTGTCTTAGCACTGTACTAGTATGAACCACCATTAACTATAGGGCATTTAATAATTCTGCCAAAATGTCGGGCAATTTCCCTCCCCCGCCCCGAGCGCCAAACATCACTTTACTCCACAGATCACTGGGTATCCTGCAGGGCCGTGAAGATTGGTATTTAGTGATGCAAAGAAAATGTTTGAGTTTATTAATCCCAATCCAGCATTTTGATTGCTCTCTCCAAAGCACATGTACCATGAACTCTGACTGCACAGTTCCTCTCAGAGGATGCAAAATAACCACTCTCCTGGAGACAGAGAAGGAAAATTCCCTGCCTTTTCTTCACCAGTATGACCCCCACAAGAAAGGTGCATCTACAATAGAAAAACTACAACAATTGTGGCCAAGTTTTCAAAACATAGTGCTATGAACTCTCTATACTAGCATTGGTAGTAACTAATTTTTCTAGTGCAGGTAAGAGTCTAGAACTGAGGCTGATCTGAATCAATATTTTTAAACCTTCCCACATGATGTGACCCAGCCAGGTAAAGCATTAGGGCTAAAATGTGGCTTGAAGCCACAGCTCTTGGCAGGGGGCTGAGCAAAGGCACAACATCCAATGGGAGCTTCTGAGAGAGATATTTTTGAAGCAGGCAGCTGGGGAGGGCAGACACTGATACATCCTTTGACAGGTTACGATGTGTGCGCCGAATGTACCAGGCCAGATCTGCCAGGGAAGAGCCTATTTGGTGACAACAATGCTAATTTTCCTAGGGCTTGGTGACAAAACGTAGTCCCGTTGATGTCAGTGGCAATACTCCCATTGACTTCATTGGAGCCAGGACTTGGCCCAGGAAACTCAAAGGGTGAGGTTCACAAAGGGACTTAAGCATGATGATGCTCAGTGGCCACCACACCTAATGTTTAGGCACCATGGGTGGGGGGGAAATCACTGGGATTCACCAAGCCCAGTTCAGCACCTTGGCTCCTTTACAATGGGATTAACAATATCCAGAACACGAGACAGCGCCTCACCTAATCCAGCCAATGGGAAATGCTGCACCCATGGGTGTGTGCTAAGCCCTGCCCCTCACAGGGAGTTTGGGGCCTAAATCCAGGCTACAGGGAATAGTCTCTCTCTGCTTGGGATTCTCAGCTACAAACCCTCTTTTGGTGTTAGGTGCCTAGGCTGTTTTAGCAAGGAGCAGCACCTACCTCATAACAACCCAGCGTTGGACCCCAGTCCAAGACCCACCTCCGCCTGATGGAGAGAAGGGATTTGAACAGGGATCTGCCATCTCAGGTGAATGCCCTAACCACTGGGCTATTCTAATGCAAGGCTTTTCCTTCTCGTCTGTTGAAGCTATTCCACTGTGGATATTTAATGAGAATCTTCCTCTTCCAGTTGTTTTGTGTAAGCCAGGGGTCGGCAATGTTTGGCACGCAGCTCGCCAGGGTAAGCACCCTGGCGGGCCGGGCCAGTTTATTTACCTGCTGACGTGGCAGGTTCAGCCGATTGCGGCCCCCACTGGCCGCAGTTCACTGTCCCGGGCCAATGGGGGTGGCGGGAAGTCGCAGCCAGCACATCCCTCGCCCACGCCGCTTCTCGCTGCCCCCATTGGCCCAGGACGGCGAACTGCGGCCAGTGGGGGCCGCAATCGGCTGAACCTGCCACGTCAGCAGGTAAATAAACTGGCCCGGCCCGCCAGGGTGCTTACCCTGGCGAGCTGCGTGCCAAACATTGCCGACCCCTGGCTTACACAA